GATCTCCCAGGATTAGTGATTTTTAAGACGTATGTTGGGAAATACTAGAGCGGAGGGTCCGTAGTATCTTATGCACTCAAGAGAAGCAGAAGCAACAAAAGGAGGGGTTTGGATGTGGTCCTCAGCTGGGTCAGTGGTGCATGTGTCCACATAGACTGCTCTTTGCCCAGACCCAGCCACTGCACAGCCTCTCAGGTTCAGGCTGCCATGTAATTAGCCCAGTGTCCATTTGAGATGATTCCTTACCCTTTCATTCTTCCTACTGCTAGACTGTATTCATTTAAAACAAACCAACAAATGCCTTTTGAGCTTCTTCTATAAGCCGGTACTGAACGAAGTTTGGGTCGTAAAATGGTGGTCTCAACAGTCACATTCATGGCCACCATGGAGCCTGCAGGAACATGATGCAAAGAAAAGGCTGAGTTTTGGAGCCAGCTCTCTGCTCCACCTCCTTTTAAAAGCTGAGGGGCCAGGGGCAAATACTTTAACTGAGCTAAGCCTGCTACGTTTTTTTAAATTGAAATAATGATACCACTGCTCAGGGTGTCACTGAAACTAACCAACATCACCCATACACATACAAGGCCTCACCCAGAGTTCCCTTTTCTTTGGCTATTCAATGGAGAGCGGATATTTCTTAGCAGCACCATGAAGACAGAAAACTCTCAGATCAACCTGTTTTCATGAGCTGGCCCCTCTGGGCCCTGTCAGGGAAGGGAGTGGATCAGCAGGGCTGAGTCTGGCCCTGTCTTGCTGCCATGAGGCCAGTTACGCAGGGTGAGAGTCCAGAGTCCACCAAAGGGGTGGACATCCAGTTCTCTACATCCACCTCCCACCTTCTGAAGAAGGTTTCTTTAAAACATATACACACCCGGGGCCGGCTCCGTGGCCGAGTGGTTAAGTTCGCGTGCTCCGCTGCAGCGGCCCAGGGTTCGGATCCTGGGCACGGACATGGCACCGCTCGTCAGGCCACATTGAGGCGGCGTCCCACATCCCACAACTAGAAGGACCTGCAACTAAGATATACAAGTATGTACTTGGGGGGGTTGGGAAATAAAGCAGAAAAACAAAAAAAAAGATTGGCAACAGTTGTTAGCCAAGGTGCCAATCCTTAAAAAAAAAAAAAAAAAGGAAGATTGGCAACAGTTGTTAGCCTAGGTGCCACTCTTTAAGGAAAAAAAAAAAACATATACACACCCACACAGACACATACACATCCACACAATACACATATGCACACACACACGTGCACACATGCACATACACACAGATGCAAATATACATGCACGCATGTGTACACACAGGCATGCACATACATGCCCATATATACACACACACATACACATACACACACACACACAAATCTGAACACCTAGAAGGCAGAAGAGAAAAGGAGCAAAAGACTGAGATAGTATACAAACTCAAGAATTGGCCCCTGAACCATTGATAATATTGAATGAATTCCCGTGGTGCTTGCCGTGGGGCTTCCTTGTTCCTACCCCCGTGCTCTGTGAGCTGGGATTTTGTCTCTGGCTTGCAGAGCCCTCTGGGGTTTCTGGGCTCCCGAGGATGCCCAGCCTTGGACTTCGCAGCTTCCAGAATTGGCCTGGGTGACTATGATGCACACTGAGCATGTTCTCCTTGAACCACTTGCAACATACACTCTGGAAGAAGGAATTATATGCAAGGGAGGGAATGTGGAAGAGCCAGGTCCAGCTTAGCAGCCAGAGCCAAGAGATTCTGAGCCTGAGTCCTGCCTGCCAGAGGAGTTCAGGTGAGAATAACAGAAGTACAACTTAGTCCCCAAGCTCCCACTACGTGCCCACTAAGTACAGACACTGTCACAAGAACGCTGCAAAGTAAATGTTTCCCTCTTTTATAAGAGAGTGATGGAGTAACTTGTCTCTATGGCTAGTAAGTTGTAGGGCTAGGATTTTGAACTGGGTCTTCCAGACTCCAAAACCAACTCTTCTCAACTACTCTGAAGCCATAGCCCAAAAAAGAGAGAGGCGAGAGGCAAATCGAGTTCAAGGCCAAAGGCAAGGCCGGAGACCACACATGGAATGGAGGACAGAGACAAGAGTTGAGAGCTGAGCAGAGGTAGGGATGGGGGAAAAATGCAAATTGGGGACAATCTAGAGGGACCCAGCTGTTACCATGAACATCCTCAGTGTGCTCAAGACTTGGCCTTATACCCAGTCAGCATGCAGGGTGGGGTCTGCTCAGAAGGTCAAACACATAAACTGGTGCAGCGGAGCCTCCCCGTGTCCCTAACAGCTGGTGAGTGTCCATTGAGGCTGGAGTTAGAGGGTGTGAGAGGTGAGTGCGGCTGAGGGGGTGCAGGCCACCCAGAAAGGAAGGGCCACAGAGCTGGAGGTGTGTGCAGAGCCCCAGGGCAGCATCTCAGGAGTTCAGGGTGATCCTGGGAAGTTAGACAAACCTGGATCCAAATCCCTCCTCGCTGTTTGCCAGCTGGGTGACCTGGGGCAGCTGCTTAATTTTCCAGAGTCTGTGTCCTCATCTTTGAGATGGCAACAGTAATAGTACCTATCTTCAAGGCTCGTTCTGAGGACTCAATTAGCTAATCCACATAAAGTGCTCAGCACAGCCCCAGAATAGTAAGTGCTCAGTAAATGTTGGCTTTTCCTCTTAGTCCCGGGTGCACGGTCCTCAGGCATGAGCAGAGAAAACGCATTGCTCTTTGAAGGCAGCACAGGGTATTAGGGGATCTCCTGACACCTTGGACCTGTGGCTCCTGAGGGTGTGGCCTTTTTTCATCTTTCTCGCCTCACCCCTTTTCTTTTTGTGAATTCTATTTCTGAGCCACCAAAGAGTAACCTTTAGATGCCTCGCTGCTCTTCAAGCTGCGTCTCTGTCCTTTCAGAGTCACTCCCCAAACATAACCAGATCTTTTGGATTTTAGAATCAGGCCGACTTGGTCCAAATCCTTTTTAGCGGAGTCATCTGGAACAAGTTCACCCACGCCTCAGAGCCTCAGTGTTACTCCTCTGTGACAGAGGAAGAGCAAAAGGGACTTCACAGATAAGTTGCAAAGGAAACACATGTCAACCCCCTGGCGTTTCACCTGTAGTTACAGGATGCCCCTTCTGACAGGATCACGCTTATCTCAGAGAGGATTCCATCATCTCTGGGATGTGAGCTTCTTTGAAGATTCCAGACCCTCTCCCAGCCTGGCAGCGGTGGATTTCACTGGGCCCCCTGCAGCAAAGAACACCACCCATCAGTTCTGCTAAGGGCTGCCCTCCAGCTCCTTCCCAGCCTCCCCTCACCCCACCCCCCAAACCCCAGCATCTGTTGCCCAGCCAGCCAGCTGCCAAGCTGTGTCCCAGTCTCTCCCTGGGTTCATTGGATGTGTTGCCACTTTGTTTTTGAAGAAAAGCCAGTATCAGTGCCAGGCCCTGGGCAGACAGATCCTGCCTCTGCCAACTGCCAGATGTCTTCCACCTCCCTCATCCCGCCCTGGGGGTCCCAGGTGATCCCCTTACAGAATGTCTCTCACCAGACACCTGCCACTGGGACCCTGCAGAGGCAAGGACAGCAAAACTCCAGGCTTCCTAGGGACCAGGGGCTCGCCCTGAGTGGGGCTCTGCAATTTTTTTGCAAGGGCTTGTGGTCACGTCTACCTTTTCTTGATAAGGGTAATTATTTTCCTTACAAGCACAGCTAAATGCTCCAGACCTTACACTGCAGAGAGAAAGGGGGGTCATTCCCATTTGGTGAGCTCTTACTCTGCTCTAGGCACTGTAGGAAGATTTTACTCATGTCAATACCCTCCTAGTCACACAAGGAAGGCCTTATTAAGACCCCTCTTTTACAGGCAAGAAACCAAAGTTGTACAGGTACCACTTTTAATCCTCACAACCATTGGAATTTTTATCCTCATCCTACATATGGAAAAACTGATGCTCAGAGAGGTTAAATAACTTGCCCATGGTCACACAGCTGGAAAAGGAGCAAAGTAGGAATTCAAAGTCTGTTTAACTTACAGCGTGTGGCCACTTCAGGACAGTGTAAAAGACAAGAGTGTAAGCCAGGTTCGAGAGGAAGAAAGGAAGTAGGCTTGTGATTCTACTACTTGTTGCTTTGACCAAGCTGGGAGTAGTGGTCATCAGCCAGGAAATCTGGGTGCCTCCTCTGACCACTTCCCCTGTCTGTGGTGTGAGAAACAGAAGCCCTCACTCTTAGCTTGCTCCAGGCGGTGAGGTGGTGACAAGGGCAGTGTGAAGTACCCACGAAGCTTGTACATTTGCCCACCTTGGAAACAGTGTATCTCAGGAAGGGTTTGGATCAGAATTTGCATACTGGTAGCCTGCAGGCCAAATTAACCTAGAAAGATGTTTTATTTCAATCTGTGGTACTTTGTAAAACTTCAGATTAAATGCTAACATTTAAAAAATGTGACGAGTTCACACAGAACTCTAGATTTCAATTATCTTGAAAAATCAGAAGTTCTGACAGCCCTGGGCCTCCGTCCCCATTGGCTGGGGCTGTGCAGCCGCTGCTGCCTTTGACAAGAAGGTGCGTCCCAGCTTGCCGCAGTCCCCACTGCTCCCTATTACTGTGACAGGGAGTGCCAGTCTCCCGGTGGCGTCCATTGCCCTCCTCCTACCAGTTTTCTCATAATAGAGGTAAGAGGAAAATGAACCTTCTTTTGCTCTATAAAGTGGGAAAAAATTAAAAAGCAAGAAGGGAGAATGCATGTTTGTGTGTAAGAATAAATATTTCTGCATGGTATCTGCACCAAAAAAGATATAACCAAAGAAACAAACCTGGCTTTCTTCCCTTTTTTCTTGGTCTCTTCCTGATGGTTGTTGGCATTGCATTTAACACCATTTTAGCCACCTTTTCAGACAGTGTCTCCTGCAGCTGCCCGTGGAGAGGCAGGCATCTGCAGGCTGTTCTCCAGCCTCATGCATGTGCTCCAGGGCCTACCAAAGCTCCCCCGTGATAGTTTGGTTCCCTTTTTTTGTCTTCTCTAGGTGTTCCCTTCCCAAAGAACTTCCTTCAGATCTGCAAGAAGATCCTGTGTCGTCTCTTCCGGGTCTTCGTGCACGTGTACATCCACCACTTCGACCGGGTCATCGTGATGGGAGCAGAGGCTCATGTTAACACGTGCTACAAACACTTCTATTACTTCGTCACAGAGATGAACCTCATAGACCGCAAGGAACTGGAGCCCCTGGTAAGTGTCACCGTGCAGTGCTGGCAGCGGTCACCTCCCGGAGCTCAGCCATGGGTCACAGTACACTTCCAGACCCGTGCAAAATGTTCCCCGATGGCTAGCTCTTAACTGGAGGATTGCAGAATCAGACTAATGCACAGGTCAGAGGAAGGTCAGGAGATGCCAGGATGTCAACGGCCATCAAATAAGGGTCTTAAATTTCTGTCCAAGAGGTGGCAGAATGTAGTCGGATTGTAATGGTTTGGACCAGGGAGTGTAGCTTTAATTCTCTGCTCCAAAACCAGTCACCTACTTACTTGGTCCCTTAAATGGGCCTCTGATCTCTCATGTCATCTCTTACACTGGTACTCAAACATGACCAGAAACATTTGTTCTGTCAGTAAATAAATATTTTGTACCTACTGTGCAGCAGCTACTGGGCATACAAAGTCAAGTACAACTGCCTTTAAAGATTTTGCTCCAAAGAAAGAGACAAAAGGAAGCCCCAGATGAGTGTGAATACACTATCACAGCAACATTGCGTTTCATACTGAAACTCCTGTGATACAGCTTTCTGTTTTTTGGTTTTTGTGGTTTTGTTTTTTGGTTTTTTTTTTTTTTTGGCTGAGGAAGATTAGCTCTGAACTAATATCTGTTGCCAATCTTCCTCTTTTTTTGCTTGAGGAAGATTAGCCCTGAGCTAACATCTGTTGCCAATCTTCCTCTATTTTTTTAATATGTGGGTCACCATGACAGCATGGCTGACGAGTGGTGTAGGTTATGCCCGGGATCCAAACCCATGAACCCTGGGCTGCTGAAGTGGAGCACGCTGAACTTAAACACTAGGTCATGGGGCCAGTCCCACCTGTGATGCAGTTTTAATTGGATATATTAAAATCCAAAACATTCGATATGAAACTTTACTATTATTGTTTAGGTGAATGGGGACTACATTTCTTTTCTTCATAAGTTATTTTTACAGTTGGACTCAATCTGTGCTTCAGAAGTCAAGGACCTCTGAAAACCCTGTCATCTTTTGTAATGTGAGATCTCACTGTGGATGCCCTCGTCACAGCTATTTCTGGTCAGCTCTGTTGAGTGCTTTCTCATCTAGTAGAATGCAGTGCTTTATGGTGAAGTCGTGCTTTTTCCTCGAAACAAAGTGGCATTTTTGCTAAATGTAACTGACAGAGCAACTAGGTTTCATCCAAGTCCCTCTGAATAATGGCCAGAACGCACGGGCCAGGCTGCAGTCATCTTTGCTACCCTATCTTCCTTTCTCTTTATGTACATGTTTTTGAAATATAAATTTTATGATTATTTATGTATGACGAGGCCAATAGCTCAGGAGACGACTGCCACTGAAGAGATCATTTGTTATACTCACCGATCCCAAGAGAAGGGGGCACACCATGTCCCGGGGGCCACACAGAAACCACCAGGCTGGGTCGGAGGCAGAGGGAGCAGGGAAAACGTGGGCAAGAGACTTTATTGTGGTTTCCCTGGGACGGAACGGGTGAGGCAGGGTAAGAAGGTTTCAGATTGACTATCGTGAATAATTTCAGCAGGCTCTGGGGCCTGGGGGCTGTCCTTAGTGGTCTGGTGCCTGGTCCAGGAGACTAGGAGCCCTAAGTGTGAGAGGCTGACAGAGGAGGTGGTTGGGGTTGTGGGCTCTGGATTTGTGGGTTTGTGTTGGTTGGTGAGTAAACAGCTCATGGGCGAGTTGTTTCCTATCTCTAGGAATTGGCTGGCCCTGGGAGGGGTAGTCCATCCCCAGATATGAAAGGATCAAAATATAAAAAATAAAAGATGTTTAACACAGTACAGTACCTGTATCTGGCAAAGAAGATGTTAGTGAATTTTCATACATCACGTTTAGAGTTTCTGAACTTGAACTCTGTTATTGCTCTGTGAAAGGACATGGCATAAAATATTTTCTTTGCATCATTCAAGAGTTCTGGAATAAAGCAAGACTTTCTGCATACTATTGAGGTTTATCATTGGCCCAACAAGTGCTAATTGTTTTCATTTTCTTTCACAGCAGCTTTCTAGAAAGTTCTTGGAGGCAGGAACTAAGTTGTGTCTGACTTCAGTTGGACAAGTAATGTGGAAAGAAGCTAAAATGCATCATGATTGAGTTGTGCTAGTTTGTCCTGTGTAAAGGCTGTTGTGGGTAAACAGCCACTAGAAGAAGAAAAGCTTATGCAAATAGCTCAGGGAGTTAAAATGCTGGAAAGAGTGATAAAGCTAATTTCAGAAAATGTCAAGGACAGAGGAAAGAGTGGATGGGGGCCATGTAAGTGAAGAGAGTAGAGGAACCAGTCTGATCTCATAGAGATTGAGGTTCCGTGTCTGGGAAATTCAGCTCAGTTCTCTACAATTGACATGTTCAGGTGGAGGGAAATAGCTTCTCCGTAGGTCCACCAGAAAGAAGAGGCCCTCCTCAGCATTCACAGTCTCGGTTTTGCCGAACTAAAGGAGCAGAAACATTAGATGGATAGAGCAGAAAGTCACTTTCTTCTTAATGTACAGCAGCATAAAGGCCGTTGTAGGATGAAGCTCAGTGTAAGTTAGCGAGTAGAGAAAGCCTTTCTTTGCTATCAAAAAATTCTGGAGGCCAGCCCAGTGGCAGAGTGGTTGACTTCATGCTCTCCACTTTGGTGGCCCAAGGTTCACAAGTTCAGATCCTGGGCGCAGATGTACACACCACTTATCAAGCCATGCTGTGGTAGCGTCCCACATATAAAAGAGAGGAAGATTGGCACAGATGTTAGCTCAGGGACGATCTTCCTCACCAAAGCCTCCCCCCCCCCCAAAAAAACTGTGTTATTTTCTATAACTGAAGAGATTCTAACACTTGCCTGTGCCAGGAGCTGACTGAAGCCTCAGAATCACAGAAAGGCCCTGAATAACCCAGTATTCTAGAAAGAGCCACACTGGGGGCCCCAGAAAAAACTACAATTGGATTAACCAGGAATTATTAACAGTGGAAGGGGGCAAAAAGAGTATCAGGGTTTTTTTTCCCCAGAAGCTTATAATTCTTTAAATTTTGCTTGAAATAGTATCCTTCCTACCTTTATGTTTAATTAATTATAATTATAGGGAGATTCATTTTAATGCTTTTACATATTAATAACAAGTGTTTTTAATGCTTAAGTGTCTGAAATTATGTATTCACTTTACACAAACCAAAACCTGTAAAGTGACAGAAAAAAGATACTGAGAATGTTTCTGAGGACAATAATTATATAATGTCAGGCTCTGAATACTTAGTGTAGTCCAATGTCCACCTGGAATACTGTACTTGTGGATTGTTATTACTGAAATGAGCATTTTCAATAGTTGGTGCTGGAATACCTAACTTTTGTCTATTGCTGCAATGCATATCTTAAAATCAGTCATATCATATCAAATCAACACATTTTTATTTGATTTGCACGTATCAAATTCCCTATATAGGCAAAGCAAGTTGCTCAGATGTGCTAAGTGCATCAGATAGATATGCTTTTGAGAATGTACAAATGCAGTCTGAAAAAATAGAAAATAATGACTGTCACTCATCTTCCAGCCTTGAAGGATGATAAAGAAGTTAGGCATTTGGCTTCACACTCTAGTTGGACATTCTTTAGAAGAATGTCCAGGGGCCAGAAGGGCAGCATTTATCCGGCCAGTTCCCTTTAGAACATCAGCATTCCCAGAGTTCCCACACCTCCAGTGGGACATTCCTGCTGTCATGCCTTGGGATTCCACAGTATGGAACTCGGAGACCCCACCTCATGTTTCCCTCCGCCATGCGTCCACCACACTCACCCTTTGCTTTTGTCTGATGTCGACTGAGTGGCCAGCACCCCCCGAGGGTAAGAGATTCAGTCTCACACAGGGCTTAAGACAAGGCTCAGACTCTCTGGCTTCAAACCCTGGACCCTTCATTTACTGACTTGCAATCTTGAGCAAGAGAGTTGGCTTTTCAAAGCCTTGTCTTCCTCATTCATAGAATGAGTATGATAATAGAGTTGCTGTAAAAATGAAATGAGTTCGTCACATGGTAAGTGCTTAAGAAATGTTAGCTGTTGGATGATATAGTGAATGTAAAGTAGCTGGCGTATAGTAAGCAGAGATACCCTAATTCTCCCTTCCTGTCTCCCAGGGCCTTGGGCATCTTAGCGATCCTCTAGGTAGCCTTGTAATTGATATAGTTCATTGTATTGGTATCAGTGTCTCCCACAGGATTGTCAACTCTGAGGTCTGGGAGTATACAGGGTATATGCTTGCGTTGCCCACCCACGTTGCCTAGCACATAATAAGTGCTTAGTGAGTTTTTGAATTGGGAAGAGACTTCGAGGATGATGCACCTCCATTCAAAGGGATTACACACCAAGCATTCCTTCCTTGGTGCCACGCTCATCTCAGAACCTGCCTGCAGACCTCCACTTATTCAGTGCTGGAAATGCTTCACCTTAGCAGTTTAGCCAAAGAGATTAAAAGCAAAGGTGCAGAGCAGTGAAGGGATGCATCATAAAGCTTAGGGCTGACAGAGAAAGATGGGACCCCAACTCCCTGTCAGTTCCCTGTTCCAGATTCAAACTAGGTCACCCAGGGAATGTTAAATGCTCTCACTGCTTGTGTCTCCTGGTGTGCTGGGGATAAGGTGACCAACCCTCCCAGATTTAGCACTAAAAATCTCATGTCCTGGGAAAACTCTCAGTCCCTGGCCAGCTGGGATGGTTGGTCACCCTATCAGGCCTCTGAGTGGGAATATACTTTGGATTTCAGAAGCTGAGAGGAGGTCACCCTGGCCAGCGCAGTGAGAAAGGCCAGCGCGTCCATCTTGCCCGTAAGACATGCCTCATGGCTCCCACTGGGACCTGCTGGTCAGCAGCAGCCTGGGAAACACAGGCCATTTCATTTGGTCTCCAACAGGGAGGGGGATGCTGGCGCACTGACACAGAGACAGACGTGACAAGCAATCCATTTCTCATGTAAATGCAACAGCTGAAGATGACTTGAACTCAAGCAGTTCA